CCTTTATCTTGGGGGGAGGGTAGGGGTTGTAACCGCCATATTTTATTTTAATTTATTTAGATTTCAGATTTTTTCAGAAAACCTGGGGCATTTTTCAGGGTAGTCAAGAGATCCGTCTTGTCTGGCTCACGGCTCCAGGCTCTAGATTTACGTGTCCTCAGATTTGTCCAGGTTGACTGTTAGACTATACAAGTGGTGACCTGCACAAAACATGGCTTGATTATGTTGAGGTTCCATTTTCTTCTTCTAAAGGGTGGTGCGCACACCAGGGTGCGGATGCTGCTGCTCTATTGATGCCTCCCTCCCTCTCTCTCTCTCGCAGCCACTGTGGCCACCCAGCCACCATGCCCCCCCTTCCCTGCCTCTGCCACTCTATCCACTCCTCCTTGCCCATGTGCCTACCTGCAGCGGTGTCGCCTCTGTCTCAGTGCTCAGCAGCTGGGGGAGGAGTCAAGGAAGGGTGGCTCAGGTGGTACCACTGCAGGCGGGTGGCTGGGCACCCACCTCGCCCGAGCTGCCCTCGCCAACTCTCCCCTCGGCGGCTGAGCACTCAGTCACCAGCTTTGCAGGCAGGCAGCTGGGCAAAGAGGCTGCTTCTCACCCACCCAGCCGCCGTGTTCCCTCTCCTCAACAGTGGCGGAGGCGACTGCTCACCCAAGCGCCCGGCCACTTCAGCCACCTCAACAATAGTGGCAGACGCCCACTTGGCAGCTGAGCCACCTTGGCAGTGGTGGAGGCAGATGCTCACCCGCCCAGCCGCCCGGCCACCCTATTTGCCGCCGCAAAGGCAGTATACAAATGGTGGGACCAGAGTGAATGCATGAGTATATACAAAGACAACAAAACACCGTGTCAGGCCATATCTGAATAATTCTAATGGAATAAATTGATTAAAAACAGTTGTGTCTCAGACTTCCGGTCTATCATATAGTCGATCACAAAGTGACTCAATCAGCTGCAGGAGGCATTCCGCGCTCCAGGGGTGCCGCAAAGGCAGTATACAAATGGTGGGACCAGAGTGAATGCATGAGTATATACAAAGACAACAAAACACCGTGTCAGGCCATATCTGAATAATTCTAATGGAATAAATTGATTAAAAACAGTTGTGTCTCTAATGCTTATATTGACATATAGTCGATCACAAAGTGACTCAATCAGCTGCAAACTCAATAGCAAAGTTACACGATCCATACAACTGTGTAAAATGTTACAGGACCAGTTAAGACGTATTGCGCATCTGAATTGTCCACAACAGGAAGTTATTGAAGATCCTCTCAGCATCGAGGGCCAACGAGAATCTAGATTTCCGCCCGTTTCAAATGTACAGTCTTCCTCAAAGCCAGGATACTCGGAGAAGTAGTTCGGTTTTTAAGTCAGGAACCAGTGACCTGTAAATTTTCCTGCACAGCACTAGATTGGGAAGGCAGCAGCTAACTTGAAAGATTTAGATACTGGCTACTCTGTGCAGATGCTGAGAGGCTCCTCGTTTAATTACTGTAGGTGTGATGATCAGGGGTCTTTTGGGGCCGGGGTGCGCTGGAGCACCACTCCGGCAGCCCAGGAGCTGGCACAAATGGTGGCAGTGGCAAGCCCCGCCCCCAGCTCCTCGCGCCAAAGCGCTGGGGCTGGGGGGGAGGCCCGGAGAGCCCCGCAGCCGGGTCCCCCGAGCCCGCGCAGAAGCAGTAAGTAAGGTCCCTTGAGAAGGCCCAGAGCACCCTCCCAAGACCTTCAGATCTCCCTTATTTGGCAGAGTAAACAACAAATAAAAGGTTTATTTTTACAGGAGGTCAGCCCAATCTGGGAAACAAACAAGGTGCAAGAACAATAGCAATAAGTGGGTGAAGAGAAAAGAAACCAAATGCCCTAATGTGACTAGACTCACAGTCCCTAGCTCACTGTCTCAGTGGAGCCTGAGTCTACTCACCCTTCCTCTCAGGGTGAGGGTCTCTCCCAGTAGCAGCCTTCCCTCTGGCCCTGCTCTCTTGGAAGAAAGAACAACTCTTCTTCTGTACCAGCTCTTTTGTTATAAGTCCCCTTTCTCTGTGATTGGCTAAAATTGGTGCCAAAACCTCTCAGGGGCTTCTGGGAGTTGTAGGCCTGGCCTCCTGCCACTGCTACTCAGGCTCCCTGGGCCTGCTAGGCCTTTGCTTGCACAGCCCAGATAAGTGAGAAAAGAAAACTTTTTAGAACTAAAGGTGACGGCTTTTGCACAACTGAAACCTCCAAATATAACGTATTTCTCCACATTCACTGTTTCAGTTTGAAAATCCTAATTTCTGACATGGGCTGGCCTCACACAGAACAAAACTGAATTCCACCCCCACCCCCCACTATACTAATAAAATTTGACAATTTGAGTTGATGCCTGGTTTTGCATCAGTTGTGTATAAATGGCATAAGAAAAAAACACATTATAAAAGAAACAAAAGAATAAGAATAGCTTTATCCTTAAGTGAGCTTGGTAAAAAATCTCCTTTATACTTAAGTGAACACGTGAAAAAAATCCCTTTAAGTTTCTATGATTGTAGGGTTCTTAAAGAGGCCGAGGGACAGAATCACCTAAGGAAACTGCCATTCATTTAAGAGAGTGGGTAATTGTCATTATGTTGGGAAAACATCTTCTGATTTTAAAAGCAAATGTTCTTATGCAGCCTTTCTGCTCCTAACACCAAGAATTCAGATTTTACAATACACACAGCTGCTTGGGCTTAGCCAGAGGATTCTACAGTTTTCCAGTGGTTATAATCATTTGGTTCTCTGAAGCCCCAACTGGAAATATAACAGTCCTAACTAATATAGAAACCTGACTACAACCATGATCCTGCTACTGATCTTCATGGGGGGGCAGGGCGGAGAGATGAGTGTTAGATCAGACTAACAAAGACTCAGAGAGTGGTTTCAGCTCAGTGATTCAGCTTTATTGAAGTAGTGAACAAACACACAAACGCATTCAAAACCAGAACAGATTAACATTGGGAACTAAGCTCCTTTTAAACATTCCCGGGCTAACATAGCCACACCTATTTACAAATAACAACCAATAAGATTGTCAGGATGAAGACCAATGGGAACTCTTCCTGCTTAGGGACCTTGCTGAGCTGCGATTGGTCGCTTGTTTGGAACGACCAATAGGGTGCGAGAGTAGATGGAGCCCTGGCTGGCGAAGCTTAGCACAGTAAGTGAATTAGACGATTCATGGAATACTTTCAGTACATTACACTTTTCCTCCTCCTCTTTCTTTCTCTCTTTCCTTCTCTTTTTATCCCCTCTTTCCTTCCTTCTTTCCTTCTCTTTCCTTCCCTCTTTCCTCCTTCTGTGGCCCAACTTTAGTGAGAAGGGCCTGCAGCTGGGGAAGGGAAGGCCTTGGGAAGGGCCTGCAGCTGGGGAAGGGAAGGGGAGGCTTCCCCCCCTTGCTTCCCCTTCTGACCACTTCCAGTGATGTCAGGGGGCGTGGCATATGCTGATAGCCTAGTAGCTCATTAGCATACCGTATGCTAATGAGCTCCTGCAGCTATTTTTCTACGAAATGACTTCAGGTTATGATCATAACATGCATTCTGGGAAGACAAACAGTGGAAAGCCATCTTATTCGAAAAAGTAAAGTCCAGCAAGGTCCAAATATCACCCAAAACATTACTCTTAACTCAGCAGTCTAATTGATTGCAGGCTCACAACTCATGTAGGAAGCAGGAGCTGTTTTCAAAGGGTTAAGAGGTCAAGTTGTGTATTTTTTAGCTTGTTAATCTTCCTTTTCCTGGTAGGAAGCCAGGGGCCCCACAGAGCAATAGCTCTGCACCATCTGTTTGGACTTTGGGATGGCTAAGCGAATGTCTTGTCTGTTGAGGAAAAAGAAAAACAAACATACAAACCTTATTTCTGTCTCCTAAGCCTATATTCCTAACCCTGTTTCCTGGATCCCGCTCATGCAGGAACAACTGTTTAAAAAGGGATTTTGCATCCTTTTATTTATTCTCAAAATAGTTTCAGTTATTTTGTGGAAGACCGTGACACTCAGAAACTGCTCCTCTTTGCAAAGATTCCCTGAAATAATTTTCATCAATATTTTATTTTTGTGTGGTTATTTTTTTCTCTGCGAGCAGTTGGACTTAAGTAAAACAGCTCTTTTTAAAATCAATATGCATC